GAGACATCAATGTGAGAGACAGAGACAGAGAGACATCAATGTGAGAGAGACACATCGACTGGTTGCCTCCCGCAGGTGCCCTGACCAGGGCCGGGGATTGAACCTGCAACCCTTGGCTGGGAATCGAACCCGAGACCCTCCGGTGTGTGGGCCGACACCCTACCCGCCGACCCACACCGGCCAGGGCAGTTTTCTCCGCTTCGCCTTTGGCGCCTCGGTGACATCGTCTGACTTGGGGAAGCGACGGTCCTACTTGGACATTCATTCCCGTCTTCACGTCGCCAGGCCGGGCACCGCGTGGAGCGAGGCGGGATCTGGGGAAACCTCGTATTTCTCCAGCATAAGAAAAGTCATTAACGGGAACATGGGGAGCTGGACGCTGAGCTAAATCGGGTGGAAACTGACCCGACGGGGCCCTACAGGCCTGAGGGGGAGAGCCGTCCGCACCCACACGAGGCTCCTGCCTCTCAAACGTCCGCCCGAGTGGATTTTCCAGGTTCCCACCTCACGGATGCCGTGGGTCCGTCCGTAGGACTTTAAAAGGCTTCCTCCTGCTGGAAGAACTGTTTCCTTGACAACAGTTCTCCCCTCCTTCTCCGTGTCCTGCAGAACACGGAGAAACAGTGACACGGGACACTGTGGGTGGGAGATGTGGACGGGGGTGGGGCTGGTGCTTGGGGACTCCCGGGACAGCTCCGGCTGCCGTTATATCTCCCCGTCGACGTAGCGAGGACCCGGCCCTGGCAGAGACGCGCAGCATCTGTGAAATAATTGCAGAGTCTCGAGGATGTATTTTTAGGCTCCGTACCTGCGCGGGCGGGAGCTCACACAGTTCAGTGACTTTCCTGGTGCTCCGAGCATGAGATCAAAAGAGAAACAATGTCGGGGAGTCAGAGCGCTCCCCGGGTTGTGAATTTCTACTGCAGCCTAGAAAGTCACCGCCTCACCCGGCTAACAGCAGCGACGAAGAAGAGCAGACGGGGCGAGGGTCTCGGTTCGGTTCCCGGTCAAGGGCACGTACCTGGGCTGTGGGCCCGGCTCCCAGCAGGGGGCGTGTGGGAGCAGCGGTGGGTGTTTCTCTCTCCCTCTCCCTTCCTCTCTCTGAAATCAATAAAAACATATTTTTAAAAAATAAAATACAACGGAAAGATATTTCCTTTCCATTAAAAGAAAAAAAGACAAAAGGCAGAGGGAAGACGAATTTTTCTCTCTTCCTGAGCCGGGACGGTCACCTTCTCCTGCCCTTGGCCTCCCCTGCTCCGGGTCCTCTGGTTTTCGGGCTCCAGGAACGATGCCGGTGCCTCCACCGGGCCTTTGGACCAGGCTGACCTTTCCCCCGGCTCCCCTGGTTCTCCAGCTTCGGGACAGCAGCCCTGGGGCGTTCTCAGCCCCGTCACCCACGGGACAGTCCCCATGAGGAATGTCCTCTCGCACATTTGCGTAGAGCCTCTCGGTTCTGCTTCTCCGGAGACCCCTGCGAGTTCACCGTGGGCGGAGTACCCTTCGGACGTAATAGACCCACCCGCTGTGTTCCCGCCGCCCGACGGCCCGCCCGGCGAACAGAAAGCCGCCTCCGCAGAACTTCCCCCGGGCTCCGCTCTCCCGGGTGCTTCCCGCGGCTCGGTCCCACTTACCTGGCCCTGGGGCTTGGAGAAGGCGCGTCGACCATCGCGAGCCGGAGCAATAGCTTTCATTCTTTCCCTCCCGCGTTGTCGAAAGGTGGACGGTCAATGCGGCTCCTTGTCCAGGTTCTGGGCCACGACAGCGTGGAGCGGGAATGCTCCCCGTGGCCTCCCGGGGCCTCGCTCCTCACGCTCTCCCCGGGGTGGGGGGGAATCACGTCTTCTGGAGGCAGCGAGGAAAGGGGAGGCCGCCCGCCCCCGGCCTGGCCGAGCTTCTCGCTCCGCGGCAGCTGCAGCGGTCAGAGGGGAGTGTGCGCTTGTTTGTTCGGAGGTTCATCGTATTCTCCTGTAACAGCTCCGACAGACAGACGGACAGACAGACCGACAGACAGAGGCGGTCCAGGTCCTGCTGGCCCGATGGGCCCCGGATTAACTCGAAACGTTTGCTTCCTCGCTTCCCCCCCAGTCGGTCTGTGCTGGTTTCTGATACTTACGACCACGGCGATTCCCAGCCACGCGGTGCCTCGGCCCCAGGCGCCCTCCTGCTCCGTCTCTTACCCGCAGGCAGCCCTCGCCGTGCCTGAGACAAGGCCGCGCACTGGGCGGGAAGGCGATAATGGGACTTTAGGGTCCAGAGAGAGAGGGAGGAGACTGAGCAGCTCCGCCCGGGTGTCCGCACGGCCTGTTTCTTTTCATAAGATCAGCCCGTGCCCGGGGCTTCGCCGCTCGGGGGCTCCTTGGAAGGATGGGACCCCGTGAGCTCCGCTCCCTCGCGTGCCTGTGAGAGGCCCCAGGAACCTCCGGGAGGCGTCTCTGGAAAACCTGCGTCTCCAGCGGATGTGACGGAGAGGAGGGGCCGAGCGTCTCTTGGGGCGACTTTGCGGGGTGCCCGCCAGCCGGTCACGCCAAGTAATCAGAGTCTTTAAAGTTTCTACCTTTGAAAAGGCGCGACGCACCCTCCTGCCGATCAATCCGTCGGGAGTGAGCGGCCTCCCCAGGAAGCCAGGGTGGAGTCGGCTTTCTTGGGACCCAACGGTTGATGCAAAGCTCGGCGTCACCCGGGAGGGACGCCTTCCCCAGACGCCAGGGGCACGAAGCTGCCCAGCAAGCTCAGCCTGAAGCCCAGGATGTACCCATGTGCCAGGGGCCTCGGGAGCACGTGGCATCAGTTGCAGGGAGGGACGCCGGGGGAAAGCGTGGCTAAGCCACGGCCTTTCTCTCATCGGAACCCACGTCTCACGCGGCGCAGACGGAAGCCCAGCCCTGCCCTCCAGGGCCTTGGCGGATAAAGCCTGTGATTTCCCGGCCGCTGCGTTTATTTGTGCAGAAAATGAAATAAGTGATGGCAGTTGGTGAGGTTAAAGCGGCAGCCCCTGGGCCTGTGTTCCCCGAGTCTTTGGTTTTGGTCCGAATTGTTTTGCAATTAACCCGGCAGGTTTACGGACAGCGGCTTAGACAGGAGGAAGCCAGCGGGGTCTGTGTGCT